TAAATTACATGACTTTGTTAAAACAGTAAAAAATATATAAACAAATAACGTATTTCGCGAAGAAAACTCTAATAAATTTATATTAAAATTATTTGTGACAATTGAAAGGAAAATCTTCACAACTTATTTACTAAAGTAATGTTATTTTTCCATCATTCATCTAAAGTTTTTTTGTTTTTTGTTCTTTCCCACTTGCTAAAACCTTTTCAATTATATTTTCTGAAGTTGAAAAACTGTAAATTTTGGACTTTTATTTTCTTTTAACCATTGTTAAACTGGTTCTGATGCTCATTAAACACCCCCCCCCTCACTGCCTAGTCGCTGTAGCCGAGCTGCACGCTCACTCAACGCACAAAGCATTACAGCCCAGAGTACTACCTCTTTCTGATACTCTCGCATGGCCTTGACCAATACGGCACTGGCGACGGTTCTAAAATCTAGGTCGAAATATGTGTGAATACAAGCCACGCCAATACAAGAGTATGTCGGTGTGCGTGTGTGCAGGCGACGGCGTGTGTCAGGGTGAAGTTTCATGAACGTGGATGTTTTGCAGTATGTTGGTGTGCGTGTGTGCAGGCGACGGCGTGTGTCAGGGCGATGTTCCATGGACGTGGATGATTTGAGTATGTCGGTGTGCGTGTGTGCAGGCGACGCCGTGTGTCAGGGTGATGTTCCATGAACGTGGATGTTGTGCAGTATGTCGGTGTGCGTATGTGCAGGCGACGGTGTGTGTCAGGGTGATGTTCCATGAACGTTAATGTTTTGCAGTATGTCGGTGTGCGTGTGTGCATGTTACGGCGTGTGTCAGAGTGATATTTGAAGACCGTGGATGATTTGAGTATGTCGGTGTGCGTGTGTGCAGGCGACGGTGTGGCGTCTGCGCCCGCGCAGCCGCGGCCGTGTGTCTCTGCGGAGCGCCGACCCGGAAGACGCGCCGCTCATCGACCCGCAGGTAGGGATCGATATCTCAATCGACTTGCATTGTCGATACTTCAAACTTCCAAAATAAATATGAAAATTTACCGTTTTGAGGGATGTCAACTTAAATCATTAGTTTTGAAAGTGTAGTACAGGCTATATTACGCGATATAAAGTTTCCAATATCGATTTTGATTTGTGTTGTGATTTGAAATATGGGTAGTAATATCTTTTACTTACTACACAAATAAATTTACGCTATTGAATATATAATTTGTGCTAATGCTCATTACATTCCGTAATCATCCTACATGTGTGAACTATTCGAGCTTCTTATTTCAAGACAGTTTTAGGTCCAAGCAGAAAAGACTTGTGAAGAATCCAAATTCTGATTTTCCCAAAATAATATTGACGTTTCAGTAGTCACATAGTATATGTCTCGATAAAGATATTACTTGTTAACGATTGCGCGTTCGTATCCGTCAGGGTGAATGTCGTCGGTGGGTGTGCGCAGGGCCTGTCGAACGAGGAGGACGTGGCGGTGAGCGTGGCGGGCATCCGCGCCTTGCAGCGCGTGCTGCGCGCGCGCCGGCGCTGCGCGAGGTGGACGCGCAAGCTTGCTGCGCTGCGCGCTGCGTTGCTGCGAGGACCGGCACTGGGACTCGGACGAGTACTGGCGCTGCGGCGCTGCGTATGGCAGCGGCCGCAGACGCTCTATCCACCCGTGGTGCACCAACAGGATGGGGCCCGGCGCAGACGCCGGCGCCGTTGTGACGCCACTGAAGGTGCGCGGCCTGCTAGGCCTGCCGCCGGGTGCGACACCTCGTCATGCCACGCTCGTTCGGGGCCACCTGAGTATGGGCGGCTATGTCATCGGGGAGAAGGCCGCGACTCATCAAGCGGGATTACGCTCGGGGCTCTAGGCTGTTCCGAATAATTTCAATTCTTCAGACTCTGAAGACTTCCCGCTTTTAAGAAGGTATTCCTGGAGAAGAGAAAGTTATGTAATGCTGCCGGAGCAAGCGACGAATATTTGGGAGAAAAACTCTTATTGCCGGGTGCCTGAAACGAAAGAGTGGATAAAACCATTCTAAATATAGAGAAAAAAAATTTCTAACACTTGGTGGTGCCAGAATCTATATTTTGTTGGTCCTCGATACCAAACAATCGAATGACGGCAAAAAATGCCTCTGTCTGTCCGTCTGTGAACAACGTTAGTTGTTAAACCGTTCAGCCGATTTTCTCCAAAATTAATATTTTGGAGTCGATTTAGATGACGTCGCGATCGCTTTAATAAGAAACCGCAATTTAATTTTCTCGGTGTACTTAACATAAGGCTCTTAAATCATTTTTTAATTTTTTATAAAAATTAATCCATTGTTTTGCATTAAATTTTGTTGTTGGATAGTATAAAGGACAATTGAGAGAATGGTACAAGTCTCGTTATCGTTTAAAACTGAATTTTAGAAAATGACAAATATTCAAATGGTTTTCTATATCTTCCTTCAACTATAATTTTGGATATATTTTTGTCTTAATGAAATATGTTCATCAGACACAGTTCTTCAGAAGATGTTATGCTCAATATTTCGATAATATGAGTATTTTTGCGTAATTTTAGATGAAGTATCGGCGCATTTAAAACCGTTTTAAACAACTTTCTCAGAAACGACTTCAAATTGTGTCTTTCCTTTTTATTCTCGTATGTAGCATAGAACTGTAAAGATAATGGTAATAGTACTATTTTCAGCGAACTTTGAATTTTCGAAAATTAGAAAAAAAAGTTTGCAATTGTAATTTCGAATTTCGCTCATTTCGTCATTGGCTTTGCCATTTCGGAAAATAGCAACACATAAGTTTGAAAATTCTTCTATTTCGTCCCATTGCTGTAGGTCATGATGATTGTTTGATGTAGGTAATATTGTTATAAAGGAAATAAATTATCGTATTTCTTACTTAAAGTTTATAACGCTCATTAAATGTACAGCTTTATGAAGTAAAGGCATCAAACAATGATGCTAGGGTTGAGGGACGTACCCACGAGCTTTGCTTGAGTTGGAACGTCAAGGTAGCAAAGAAAACATTACGACGGCGAACGCCCAAACAGCGAGCGGAAACAAACAGTAACCGCTGATGTCCTTGCCCTTTCCCATGGCACAGGCGTGATATCCGGGCACGCGCTCGCCGTCGCTGGGAAGAGGTTTGCCCAGTTGCTCGCGAACTCTGCGCGCGGACTCTTCTCCGACATCTTGAGGCCGCCTGCCGGAATCCTGCATGGGAATGGCTTCGACGCCCGGAAGGCTGATGGGCCACCGCTCCGCCACGCGTTGCACGAGGCTAACGGTACATATCTAATATTTTTTGACTCTATTTTAATGGATCTGCTGGACAGTGGCGGTGTGGACAAGGGGACGTAGGTCTTTTAAATGATGATATTTTCCCTCATATGTCATGTACAGTTTTTACAGTTTGTTTCATTAAATAAATCTAATTCTAAATTATTATTTTCAAATATTTATTTTTATACTTTTTATTTTCTGTTATACATATATAAGCAAGGAGCAATAGACTGAATAAACTTGTGTAATAGTTCTGCGGCTAGATTTTGTTATTTATGTGGATTTACCCAATGTAATCTTTTTTTAAGTGACATTGCTATGTAATACTACGATTTGGCAGTTTCAGACGTTATTTCAAGGATTTAATAGTAGGACGGAGAATAAGGACAGTTTATTTACTTAACGGTATTATTACGTCTATATGTTCATTCAAATGGTACAATCAACTAAGGTAAGTGATGCATATATGGCCGATGGAGGTAATGTGGCCAAGTAGCAACTATGTTACTAGCTGAAAATGTTCTCCGTAGTACTAGCATGCTTTCTGGGAGAGCGTAGGAAGTGCGTTAACTCGCTACCAGGATTGTTGACTCGCGCATTTGTCCTCTGCAGCTGCGTTGCCAAGAACAACGTTCTGACCTTAAAACTTCTTTCCTCGTAATTTTATAATTAGTTACTCTTAAAAACACTTAAAAATATTCATAAGCGGGTAGCGTATTTAATGAGGAATCTTATTAGATTAATGCTGGTAAACTTGCTCAATATTTTGCCAACGTGGGAGAGATTTTATAATTTGTTTTTGCGGTCAATAGGGCCAAGGCTGATGGGCATATTACCAGCATTTCCGGCCATACTTACTTAATTCTCCAGCAATAAACTCTCACGCTCTAGTTTTTATAAAAGATTTAGTTTCAACTAATACAACAGGTGCCGTTCAAGACAATTCACCAACTTCCAGACATAATAGTAAATTGGATTAACCGGTAAAGACAAAGAATAAAGATAAATCTAGCAAGATGAATCACGTTTCCATGAAGAAAACCCCAAAAGAACGTAATCACTGAAGGAAAAACATGCAAGAGAAAATGTTTTTTTCACCTTTAAGAATGTAAATGTGCGAAGTCGAATACACATGTACGTATTTCGCTACCAAGGCTCACATTTCTGGTTTTCTTCGCATTCACGTGACATTCTTCAAATTTAATACGTTTTACGGTAATAGTGTACGTAGGTGTTTGCTAATTTATTATTAAAACTATGACAATAAGAAACAATTTACTTCTTATGGTCGAAGCACCATCACTATTGACAGCTATGCCGCGTGTTTCCCATGTTCCAGAACAGAGTTGACATCATCGTAGAAGAAACGTTTTGGGAAGTGGACCGAAAATTACTGGGGTTTAATATTCGCCACTAACATAGAACTATTTTGGTGTCGTTGGTTTAATTCTCTGTCTATCCACTTGGATTGTTGCGCTAAAACACGCTTTTGGAGTTTTTTAGAATCTTCTGGTTGGATCTGGAAGGTAATGATCAGTTATCCACCAGGAGACCGGAACACATAACACCTTTTATGTCTCGATTAATGAAAGGGAAGTGGTCTAAACGAGAGTGACGGATACGCATATACTCACACAGACACTCAAATACTATATAGGGATTAAATAACCGTTTTCAATAGTGCGAGAAAGTATACACTGAGGTAGCACCTAACTTCTTTTTTAATGATTATTCTTCATCAATGGATCGAGAGAAAGTAATATATTTAGGTCTTTCAAAAGCTTTTGCAGTCATTAAAATTCAGCTGTCAAAACTACCTTTATATGGAATTAGTGTTATTGCCGTAGATATCCTCGTAACTTTAATAACAATCGAAAAGTGTAGAAATACCGTACAAACATTAAAAATGAACATTATTGCCTCTTTTTTCCAATTCTTATCAAATTGAGCATGGCGTTCCCTAGGGTTCGATCTCAGTCCATATTCTGTTTCTTTTGTAGGTTAACGATATCTCATCTATCTTTAAAAACGGCAGAACATTTATCTTTACGGATAACACGAATATTCCTTGTCAAAACTATAAATAGTAGAATTTAGCAGTTGTCATAATAACATATTCATCTTTAACGAAGGAAAAGATGTCAATGAATATTTTTGCATTTCAATCCAGTAATCACATGCGCTGTTGAAAGAAATGGATTTGGCTGATTTTATGGTAATACTTCTAGGTTTCTCAATTCTGCTAAACCCTAAATAGAACATTCCTATAACTCAATTAAACAATAATATAAGTTCATTATGTCGCGACTAATTCGCATTCAGAATTCTTTCAAATTCAACGTTCATACAGCTCGTTGTATGTGTGGCAAATGTACGAGTACCACATTGCCAACTGAGATAAGCCGTAATTTACTGTTGAAACGTATTCTATTGTATCCAAACTCTCCGATTGCAGAAAATATCTACTAAAAATAACGATATGCTGGTCACGCACTTCCTTGAAGTCACTCACTTTCAAGAGATATCAATATAATACAAGAAATCCACATTTAATACATGTACATGACTTTAAAACGAATTTCCAAATTATATTAAATAATGAAAATCGATAAGTAATAAAAAAATTAATTTCACAAATTTCGTTACACAAATATAATATTTGTAAGTAAAAGTAAATATTTTCTGCTACATAACTGTTTTGAAACAGTTATAGGTTTTACTGACCATTAAAAACTAGCAGTGCTACAACACCACGTACTTTCTCGAATTGTATTTAAATTTGCAATTTTCGAAAATTTAGAGAGTTCAACGAAAATGACACCCGTGTCATTCCTTCAAGCGTTTCTTCTTCTATCCGTGAAAAAAATTGGGGCAGTTTTTGGGAGAATATTTTTTTATTAATTGCAATAGTTTCATGCCCAAATTTCGCACAAAATACAAATTTTTCAAAATGAACTGATATTTTTTAAAGTGATGGTTTCTGGAACGGACTATGTCTAAGACAATATTCTTTCTCTTCAATTTTGTATTTTTGAAATATTACCTTTGTGCAATTTTCGAAAGCACGGAGAGATCGCCGAAAATGTGACTAGCACAATATTGTTTATCGCTCTTTGATAAACACGAGGAGAAAATTTGAAGAAAAAAAAATTTGTGCAGTTTTAGAGAAAACATTGTTCAAAATTTAATTTAAGTGCCCATATTTCGCGCAAAATTACACGAATACTATTCTATTTCGACCTTATTTCAAGATCTCTTTTAGGAACAAGTTGTATTAACAAAAAAATCTCACTTTTCAATATTATAGTTGTAAGAAGAAAATAAATTTTAAGTCTGAAATTTTCGAACAAGGAATTTCAATGAACATAAGATCTGCACCCTTCTTTTAACCTTTTTTTGCTAGCCGAGGACAAAGTTTAATCAAAAAGTGTAAAGCTATTTTTGAAAAAATTTCAAAGTGTTGGGACTTGACGTAAAGTACCTTAAAAATCAAAAAAATCCATTGGAAATTCCCAAAACCTCGAGATTGTTAAGATCAATTGAATCGTTTGTTTCAGAAACCCATCAATGCCAAAATCAAAACA